TCCTCACGTCTCCATCCACAAAACATTCACTCTTCCCCTGCCTTCCCAAGCGCTACCTTCTTTTACATCCCCTCTAGCTTTGTTGCTTTATTTAGTCTCCATTGCCTTCTTCTCTTCCCTACTTTCAAAAAAGTTAGTTCCCTTTTCTTGTTTGCATACTCATTCCTTTGACCTTAACCACTCATGCCTTTAAGTACCATCAACCCTTTCCTAGACCTGTGCCCCGAATTCCTGGCTCATAAATCTACTCCCTACTCAGATTTCTGTTGTGACCCATCACGCTTCTCCCAGTAAATCTCCTCCCCCCAAAGACTGCCTGTAACTCTGCACTGGCACCAAAAGCCTTCCCAGTGCTCCAGCCTAGACTCTGCCAACTGTCTCTGGTCATGATCCTCTTGCTCTTATGTGCGGTTCCAGTCCTTCAGAAAATCCCCGCAGCCCTAGTGCCCCAAGATATTTCCGAAACCCAACATGTCTCATCACCTTCCCTGTAAGCAGCCCCACCATCTACTCCCTGCAATAGCACCTCACTTTTCTCTCCTGCACCTCATTATCACCTCAGAGGCTAGAGTTGTCCTTTTCACAGCATATGTCCACTCGAAACCTCTCAGCGCTTCTCCTCACCCAGAGCGAAAATCTACACAGCGTGCTGTGTCCGCTCCTCCCCACACTCCTCTCTGATCCCCTGACCTCAAAAGCTTCCTGATCCCATCCGAGCTGTCATCCCCATAGAGACATCAGATGCTTTCCACTGTCTGAAATGCTCTCCCCACTACCCCAAAGAGAGCTGCGCCTCAGTTCCATCTGCTCTAAGACATCATTGTCTGCTGACACCTCCCAGGGTTAGGGCAGACATTTTAGACACAGCTGACCAGTTTGAACCATGACCTGCGTGGTCCCCCGAGTGATCCCCACCATCCCAATGTCCAAGCAGCACCACATCCTGCTGGAATTGCAGAAGGGGCTTCTGGGTCCCCTGAGGAACACCAGTGAACCTCTTACATGCCCCCCACCCAAAATCAGCTATCAATAGCCAAAAAAATCACGGTTCTTTCATTAAATTAAAAGTTACATAAAACCAATAATTTTATAATTATTAATTTATAATTAAATAAAAAATTAAATTCAAAAGCAATGAACAAGGAAAACCTCCATGTTTATAATTGCTTGCTTCATTCTCCACAACTTGTTCCGCTTTTTTTTTTTTTGCTTTTTGGGTCACACCTGGGATGCACAGGGGTTACTCCTGGCTCTGCACTCAGTAATTACTCCTGGCAGTGCTCGGGGGACCATATGGGATGCTGGGAATTGGACCCAGGTTGGCCACATGCAAGGCTAACACCCTACCCACTGTGTTATCGCTCCAGCCCCTCCATTTTTTCTAACACTTTCCCCTAAGATATCGAACAATTTGCTTATTAACTATACTTTTGGGGGGCTCCCAAGAAATGCACTGAAAGTGTGAAGACCCCACCAGCAAATCTTTGCCAACTGGGCTATGGATTAGACAATGGCTTGGCACATCATGTTGCTTAGGCCTTGCAGTGCTGGGGAGTCCAGCTGGCAGTACTAGGGGACCATGTGCCTGGAACTGAACCCTGGACAAGCACTGCCATGCATTAACTCTAGCCACTGTACTATTACCAGCCCTTTTTAAAATTTTTTATTTTTTATTTTTGGGTCACACCTGGCGATGCACAAGGGTTACTCCTGGTTCATGCACTCAGGAATTACTCCTGGCAGTGCTCAGGGGATCATATGGGATGCTGGGAATCGAACCTGGGTAGGCCGCGTGCAAGGCAAACGCCCTACCCGCTGTGCTATCGCTCCAGACCCTTTTTATTATTTTTTTTAAATTAATCATCTCCTCCAACTAGAAGGCTTCTTTCTTTCTTTCCTTCGTTTTACTTGCAGATATATCCCCCAAATGCCTAGAACTGTGGTTGGCACAAAATGTTTAATAAATGAACCATGAGGGAATCCTAAACATATGTGAATCAAATCATCGTGTTAAGAACTTTAAATCATATCATTTTGTGTGTTAATTGTACCTCAATAAAGCTCCAAACAAGAATGATTAATATCTGAATGTCTTCTGAAAAATAGCATTTCCCCTGGCAGTGGTTAGTCCACAAAGACTGAAAAGTAACGAAACATTTTTTTTTTAGTCTTTGGGCCACAAAGGTAGTGCTTAGGCTTATTCTTTGCTCTGAGCTCAAGGATCACTGCTGACAGTGCTCAAAGACTATGTGGTATGGGGGACTGAACCTGAGTCAGCTGCGAGCATGGCAAGTGCCTAAACTCCTGGACTATCTCTCTGACCCTGAACATTTGTGGGTTTGATATACACAGTCACTTCTTGTTTGCTACCACCAAAATGCCCAAGACCTTCTACCACTGTCCTTATGTCACTTCTAATCTGCCTCTTCTCTCCCCAGCCCTGTATCCCTTTACCCCGCATCTTGGTAATCTCAGTTCTGTTTCCCAAGATCAAGAGTTTACATTATTCCATACCATCTATTCTGTTGTTTCTCTCTCTATCCTACCTTTTAGTGATGTCATTTGGTATTCATCCTTCTCCCTCTGGCTCAGTTTGCTTAATATGATGCTGTTCAGTTCTCACCTGAGCTTGATTCAACCTTATTGCAGGCTTAGCAAAGCAAATAGGAGTCAACACGCTCTAACTCTGGGCTTCCCAACCTTTTCCAGATCCAGAGGCACAGTAGATGCTTGGCTCGCTAAGTGACAGAGGGTGTAGGAAACAGTTTGGTATTATGTAGCATGGGTATTTCTCTTCACCTCCAATGCAACTCCTTGACCTTCCTCTGAAAAATAGAGATTGTTTTTCAAAGTAAAATAGGATTTTGTCTGGTGTTTTTTTTGTTTGGTTTTGTTTTAATTTTTAATTTTTTAAAATGAATTACCGTGGGGTACAGTTACAAACTTACAAACTTTTGCGCTTACATTTCAGTCATACAATGATCGAGTACCCATCCCTTCACCGGTGCCCATTCTCCACCACCAATGATCCTGGTATTCCTCCCACCACCACCGCCCATCCCTCCCCCACCCCACCCCGCCACTGTGGCAGGGCATTCCCTTTTGCTCTGTCTCTCTCCTTATGGGTGTTGTGGTTCACAATAGAGGTATTGAATGCCCATCATTCGGTCTGTAGTCTATTTTTAGCACACATCTCCCATCCTGAGTGGGCCCTCCAAGCATAGCTTGTCTGTTTGTTTGACCACAAGATCCCAATTCAAAGGAAAACATTTTGTGATATCTATATATCTATATCTATATATGCATATAGATATATATTTTCCTCCCTAACCTTATTTGTTGTCTGAAGAGGAACTGAACCCCTACTGACTTCCAGACCTTCATAGACATATAGCAGAAATGCTTGTGACCGAAAGTACATCCTGTAGAATGAGAAGTGATGCCTCTTCAGTTCAGACCAGACTACGCTCGGGTCTGGAGACAGAGGCCTGCACATGTATGGCATGCCCTCTCTCTGGTTATATACCTGACACCCCATGGTCCCTACACTCTGCTGAGCAGCCCTGGAGGCCTCCAAACGCATTCAGGGTGGCCCAGCTAATAGCCGACATTGCAGATCCTGAGCAGCACAGCACCCATATGCCCTTGCATTTAGCCTGAATGGCCAAAAGTCACCAGTGGGTTCCTGGGCCTTCTGATCACTATTTGGGAAACCCCTCACCCCAAAGACAGCCACATTCTATAGCTCTCTACTGCTTTAAGTGGTAAAACTCAATACCAAAGCCCCAAACCTCTACAATATGTTCAAAGGTATGGTTATAATACATGTTGTATTATTAATAGCAACTTTATCTGCTGTACAGATAAACCCAAGAATTGCAATGACTTGAACACTAAATCTTTGTCCTCACTTACAAAATATTGCTGGGTAACGCCTGGCCAGTGAAGGATCCTCTTCCATGCAGTCATTTGAGGGTTCAGATGTCAAAAGCAAAGTCCCCTGGACTTTGTGGTTTCTGGGATTTTCCAGGATGGGGGCATGCCTATTCTGACCCATCAGATTAGAGAAGTATGGATGAGCTCAGGAGGAAGACTCATCTGGTACATGAAATTTCTCCTGACATTTCATGTTCTGTATGGCAAGATGCAGGCTGGGAGCTGTGCTTTCCAGCATGGCAGCTGTAGTGTTTTGCTGCGAAAGGAGAGATCCAGTTTGCTAATGGCCATCTAGAATGACTTTAACAGATAAGAGACAAAAACAGTGACAGAATCTCCCTCCATTGAAAGTTTTCATGTTTCTATTTGGGCCTGGGAACATTATTAACATTAATTCATATCGAACACTGTTTAGCATTCAGGCACACACACACACACACTATATATATATATAGAGAGAGGTTTACAGACAACCGCTGGACTAGAGCCATTACTGATTGGATTCCATGGGACATCAAAAGATCACGTGGACGCCCACCTGTAAGATGGTCAGACTTCTTCGTCAAGACCCTAAATGATCGGTTTGAGGCTCTGCATGTTCCTAGAACGAACAGATACCATTGGGCTACGCTAGCACGCAACCGGGATGAATGGAGACGTTACTGGCACCCGCTCGAATAAATCGATGAATAACGGGGATTAAGTGATTAAGTGAAGTGATTAAGTGATATATATATATATGGGCTGGAGCAATAGCACAGGGGGTAAGGCATTTGTCTTGCACGCGGCCCACAAGGCTGACCCGAGTTTGATCCCTCTGCCCCTCTCGGAGAGCCCGGCAAGATACTGAAAATATCTCACCCTTACGGCAAAGTCTGGCAAGCTCCCTGTGATGTATTCGATATACCAAAAACAGTAACAAGTCTCACAATGAAGACATTACTGGTGCCCGCTCAAGCAAATCGATGGACAACGGGAGGACAGTGACAGTAAAAGTGATATAAATCAGATGAAATGGTGCCCAACAGGAGCAGTGCTCTGAAAGTAGAGGGAGGAAACCGGTAATGCCTCCAGCTGCATCCTGCTCTGTCCTCCCAGTCACGTCCTGCAGATTGGTTTGGACACCCCAGAATGGGGGTTATCAGGATGCTGGCCTTGGGCCTGAGGTAAGGGACCATCTTCGCCTGGCTCAATTTAGGAGGAAACAAGAAAGAAGCTATTTATCATTGTCAATAACCACTTCCTTCCCAGTTTGGGTTAAACAAAAAAAAAACATTTCTCAGACCAAGCAATTGCCTACTGCTGATTATAAGAATGTTTGCCAAGTGCAGGGATTTAAAAGTTGAAGCCCTCCACGCTAGCTTCCCTGAGTGAGAGTAGGCAGAGGAATTGATGGAAGGAAGCAGGAACCTGGAAGAGAGCCCTCTTTCCCATCAGTTGAACCCTGAACGGCCATGCTAAGGAGGTGGGCGACTCAGGCCCAGAGCCCCATGGGAGGTGCTGCCTGATGCAGGGAATTGGAGTGTAAGAGCCAGTCTGAGGACCAGAGGAACCATTCTAGGGGAAGCCATCTCCATTAAGAACCCGAAGCCAATCAAACACAGAACTCCAGCAATGGGCTCCTCCTCAGCCCAGACACAGCACGGAAGCTCCAGCTCACAGAGCCCCAGAGCCAGTGAGCTGCCCAGTGTTCTGTGACCTGGGATGATCAGTGTCTTCTGTCACAGACTATCTGCTCAGATGGAGGGACCCCTCTTATCTCCCCTATCCTCCTTTCCTTTCCTTTCTCCTCCTCCTCCTCCTCCTCCTCGTCCTCCTCCTCGTCCTCCTCCTCGTCCTCCTCCTCGTCCTCCTCCTCCTCGTCCTCGTCCTCCTCCTCCTCCTCCTCCTCCTCCTCCTCCTCCTCCTCCTCCTTATTTTCTTTTTTTTTTCCTTCATCTTATCCTGGTTTGTTATTCTTTGAAGTATAACACTCTTTATGGCCAGCAAGGCACTCACCTTGCATGTAGTCAACCCAAACTCCATCCCCAGTACCCCACACGGTCCCCTGAGCCTACCAGCAGTGATCCCTGAGTGCAGAGTCAGGAATAAGTCCTGAGCACAGCCATTTGTAGCCTGAAAAAAATTTTTTTTAATTAATTAATTTTTTTTAAAGCACACCACCCGTTATACCCAACTGGTCAAGGGAAGAGCAACTGTGTAAAGTGAAACGCTGTCACTGTCTGTGGCCCACTGCCACCCCCGGGTTCTGGTAGCCCAGCTGTCGCTGTAGCAAACAGGTGGTGTAAAACAACCGCTCTCTGAGCCCACTCACTCTGCAGGCCTCTCCACAGCCAAGAGTCCCGCCGGCCAGTCCCAGCCAACTCATGGCCACCGGTCTCTACCAGCGCCCATGGCCCACAGAGCACCGGCCATTCCTCCTGCTACTTGGGCTGTGCTCAGGTAAGGGCTGGGGTCAGGGGCTCTTGCTGCAGGCTGGGGCCTTAGAAGTTCCCCATATCAGTCTTGCTTCTTTGTTGGGAGCCCGAAAGTGAAGGCGTCCCTCTGGGTTGCTCTGAGGGGATCTCAGGTGCTGGCTGGACAGGGTGTGTGGGGAGTTTGAGACGGTATTAGCCGGGGGCAGCTTGGACGGGAGCTGAGTGCCCCGAGGTGCCTCCCTCTGCCAGGCGTTCAACCCAACAGACCAGCTTCAGAGCCACTGTCCTTGTGTGAATGTTTGTTTGTTTGCTTTGGGGGGCCATGTCTAGAGCTGCTTGGAGACTTCTGGCTCAAATCACCCAGTGCTGGGGATCAAACCAGGGGTTCTCTCTGGGGAAACCTGTGTCCCAGTCCTGGGAGCCAACTTCCAGGCCCTGGAGTTGCCTTTAGATCTGCACAATTCTCTGGAGGTAGAATGGCAAACAAGGTTAACAAGCCCTTTTCACTCTCAAGAATTCTGCTAATAGGAGAGTGATTGACAGCCCCGCGTGCTGTAGAGAGAGAAACCTATTAATACTTGTAACCAAACTCTCTCCATAAGACATAAAATGAAATTTTTTTAAACTTCTGAAGTTAAAAATAACTCTATATGAGTGCATTCCTGTCTACTTTGTTTAAAACGCAGGATGTTACTGTATTAGGTTTCCGTTTGAATTGGAGCTGGGAAACCTTGCACAGCCCTTGACCTGCATTCCCCTGCTCAGGCATGTCACAGCCCCGCAGCTGAGCCCACACTTCCGGCAGAGGAAGGAGGAGCTGCCAGGTGATTGCTTCATAGATGGGCTCCTTAGTAAGATCTTCCCAGATGAGAAAACGGCGATTGTTTATTTTCTTCAACATTACTGACAAACATAGGCCCTTGTGGGTCCAAGAGCAAAAGAACTTTATTATTAATCCACCCCTGCCCCCCGTTATGGTAGCATTTAGGTAAATCATATAAATGATGATGAATGATATCCTGGGGGATTTAGACTTGACCCAGTCAAGGCTGGTCCTTGGTGGTGATAGAGGTGATGTTGGCAGTGTGTGTGTCTTTCCCTACTCAAAGGTCTCTCCTCTCTCTCCTCCCCTACCTTACCCTCCTCTCCCCTCCCCTCCTCTCCCCTCCTCTCCTCTCCTCTCCTCTCCTCTCCTCTCCTCTCCCCTCCCCTCCTCTCCGTCCTTCCCTCCCCTCCCTTCCCCTCCCCTCCCCTTCCCTCCTCTCCTCTCCCTCTCCTCTCTCTTACCCTCCCCTCTCATCTCCACTCCTCTACTTTCCTCCTCTTCCCTCCTCTCCTTTCTCCTCTTCCCTTCTCTCCCCTCCCCTCCCCTCCCCTCCTCTCCCCTCCCATTCCCTCCTCTCCCCTCCCCTTCCCTCCTCTCCTCTCCCTCTCCTCTCTCTTACCCTCCCCTCTCATCTCCACTCCTCTACTTTCCTCCTCTTCCTTCCCCTCCTTTCTCCTCTTCCCTTCTCTCCCCTCCCCTCCCTTCCCCTCCCCTCCCCTCCCCTTTCCGGTCCTTACCTCTCCTTTCTCCTCTTCTTCCCTCCCCTCCTCCTGTCCTGTCCTGTCCTGTCCTGTCCTGTCCTCTCCTCTCCTTTCCTCTCCTCTCCCCTCCCCCGCAAATGTATGTGAAGCTACTTTTAAAACTATTTGCTATGTATTCAATCAGACCTAGAGTTTCCTGGCCTCAGTTCACATGGCTGGCTCTCAGAAATTTAAAACTAGGCAAGCAGTCTAATTTCTTGGAAAAAGCCAGGAGCTAACCTCCCCCAAGTTCACTTAATTAATACATTTGGAATATGAGCCATGGCAAACACCGTCTATTGCGTGCATAGTGAGAAAACACGGCCCCAAACTGCCAAAGGCATTCAAAGGTCTGGCATCTGGCAGAGAAGCCTGACCCAAGGTGGCCTGTCAAAGCACACAATTCCCTGGGTGCCCCCCAGTGCGCTACCTGCCCCCAAACAGATTGTAATAGTCTGACGCAAAAAAAAGAGCATTTTGAAAAGGAAGCTGGGACACCACTATAGTACTGATGCTTTGTGGGCAAAATTCTTGTTCATCCCAGGATGGCTTTCCTGTGTTGGCTTAACATAGAATCTCTGTTCTATTTATACCGAGTCTTTCATGGCAGTCGCTTCCTCTTCCCTAGCCCTAGAATACCAAGGATTTCCTTGAACCCCACTTTCCAATTTGTTCATAGTTATTTCTGTGAATGGCACATGCCAGTCTTCATGTGGACAAGTGGATTCGTGTCAGATTCACTTTGAACTGTTTCAACGCTTTGAAAATGATGCTTTGTGGGACCAGAGAGATACTACAGCAGGGAGGATGCTTGACTTGCAACCCAGGTTTAATCTCCGGCATCCCTCATGTCCCTGGAGCCCTCCAGGAGTGATTCCTGAGCACAGAGAAAGGAGTAGCCCCTAAGTACCACTGGGCCACTGGTGTGGCCTCAAAACCAAGCCAAACCAAAACAGAACAAAACAATGCTTTGTATGCAGTAAGTGCTCATCACCTACTTGATAAAGAGTTCCTTCTAAATCAGGATTGCAGTAGGATTTTCCTGAAATGGGAGACTGACACTATGAATGTGACTGTTAGTTTATTCCCTGTTCTTTTAAGAGAGTAATTGCTGGGAAAATGGTCCCAGATTTTCAGATCATAATGGAATTGGGAACAGAGGACTTGAATTAAAACGTAAATCCTGGAAGTTCCTATCACTCCACTCAACTTTGGGAGGGAGAAAAGAAAGCAGTGCCAGGAAGCTGCATTTAAGAAATGAGGCTTTCCTGGGACTCCCACCCGGAAGGAAAAAGGCTGTTTCTCACTTGAGGGTAGGGAGAGTGGAAGACACAGGTGACTGTGCCCTGAGGCTCCAGCTGGCCCCTCTCTCTCCTGGACCATCCGGCCAGTCTAGTTTCCTGCCACCTAAAGCCAACCACCTGCTCTAGTCAGTCCTTCATTGCTTGCTAATAGGTTCTTCCTGTCCAATGTGAGGAGGGATTTAAAAAAGAGTACCCAGGCTAAGGATCAGGCCCAGTAATGGAGTAAACGCCTTACATGTGTGAGGTCCAGGGCTTGATCACTGACAGTGCAAAAAGGAAAAAAATCCCAGGGCAATAGCTACAGCAATGCAGTAACCTAATTGGCCCAGGAGTGGGTACTTCTGCCTTTCCCTGACCCCTCCTTGGCTACAGGGGTCCCCCACCCCGACAGGGATAGGCAAGGCTTGTGGAGGACATGATTGCGCCCCAAGGACCCTGCAAGGTGGCTACCAAGATCTTCTCTTTGGACTCCACTCTCACTTGGGGTTCCAGAATCCAAATGATGTGGGGCAGATGTCTAATAAAACTGGTGGGTGGACAGGGTTGGAGCAGTAGTACAGCAGATAGGGCGTTTGCCTTGCACGCCGCAGTCAACCCGAGTTTGATTCCCAGCAGCCCATATGTCCCCCGAGCACCGCCAGGAGTCATTCCTGAGGGCCTGAGCCAGGAGTAACCCCTGTGCATCACTGGGTGTGACCGCAAAATAAGCAAACAAACAAACAAAAACTGGTGGGTGGACTCTGTACAGATCAGAAAACCCCAGGGAAGCTAGAAATGAAGAGGAGGCCTGGTCTGGGTTCTGCCATTATTCCCAGACAGCAGTGATGCTGAGATCTCAGCTCCCTCACTTGGCGTGGAAACACAGAAATGATGCCTCCATTAGGAAGGAGGAGATGTAAGCTTGTGAACTGGGGCAGATGCCCTCAGTTCATTGCCCACCTCTCAGAGCTGAGGGACTTGGCAGATTGTTTCATTCCCAGAACCTTAGTTTCCTGCTCATACATTAAGGGTGAAGATGTCCCTCAGAGGACTGGTTCAAGGGTTCAGTAGGATAATACCAGCATGGGGTCTTTAATGATACAGTTTTCAGATCAAGACGAAAACACACCGTGGAGGGCCAGGGAGATAGTACAGGGTTAAGGCACCTTGCCGTACATGTAGCAGATTTGAATTTGATCCTTAGCACCCCATATGATGCCCTTCTGAGATCTACCAGGAGTGATCCCTGAGCAGAGAGCCAGGAATAAGGCCGGAGCACGGCCAGGTATGACCACCTGACTAACCAAAATATTAAAATTAAATAGATAAGTAAGGACACACTGTGGGGCTCAAGCAGCCTTCAGCACTGCTGGCCTCTGGGCTTTTCTAGCCAAAATCTCCGAAGAGTGTTTGGAACCTGGGTTCCATGGGGGGCGAATGCCACCATCACCACTTCTGAAATCTGGGTAAATCCCAGGGCTTCTCGGTGCCTTGGTGCCCTCTGCTGGAGAGCAAGGATGGCATGGATGTGGGGACCAGTGAGGAGGCTGAGCACATCAGCACCAAGCACAGTCTGTGCCATGAACTCAGCTAGATGTGGACCGATTTTTTTTTTAAGGATGGGCTAGAGCGATAGCACAGCAGGTAGGGCTTGCACATGGCCGACCCGGGTTCGATTCCTCCACCCCTCTCGGAGAGACTGGCAAGCTACTGAGAGTATCCCGCCCACACGGCAGAGCCTGGCAAGCTCCCCGTGGCGTATTTGATATGCCAAAAACAGTAACAAGTCTCACAATAGAGACGTTACTGGTGCCCACTCTAGCAAATCGATGAACAGGAGGACACTACTACAGTGCTACAGTGTTTGAAAATAGAAACGGCTTTAAAAAAAATACAGGGAAAGGGGCAAAGAGACAGCACAGGGAGTAAGAAACCTGCCTTGAGCCCTCTGACCCCAGTTTGATCTCCAGCATTACATATGGTCCATTGAGCACAGACAGGGGTGATCCCTGAGCACAGAGCCAGGAGGAAACCCTGAGGACCACGTCTGGGTATGACCCACCCCCCAACAAATAACTGTCACGGTCCTCCCGTTGTTCATCAATTTGCTCGAGCAGGCCCCGTAACGTCTCCATTGGAGACTTTGTTGTTACTGTGTTTGGCATATCGAATACGTCATGGTGAGCTTGCCAGGCTCTGCCGTGCGGGCAAGATACTCTCGGTAACTTGCCGGGCTCTTCAAGAGGGGCGGAGGAATCGAACTCGGGTCGGCCATGTTGGCTGTGTGCAAGGCAAACGCCCTACCGCTGTGCTATCGCTCCAGCCAATATAAATTAATACATAAATAAATAAAGGGGTTCCCCTGAAGGACTCAGAGATTTAGGGAGATGGTTAGCCTAGGGTACAAGTCAGATTATTTGATGCTCAAACCTGCTGTTCTGCCTTGCTCAGTTCTGTCAGTGTTGGGAGCCCACTGAGGTGAGTTCAGGGGACCATGATGAGTCGAAATCAAACCCAAGGCCCTGTGTACACTAGGCAGATGCTCTCCACCTTGAAGCTAACTTCCCAACCCAGAAAAAGTACTTGTGACTTAATAATTTTATGCAAAACTTAAGAGCATATGGGTTTCCAGCTTGGACAATAATAAAAAAAATAATGAGGGTGTTGCACGCGACTAACCCAGATTTGATCCACTGCATCTCACATGATCCCCTGAGCCCTGCCAGAAGTGATCCCTGAGTGCAGAGTGAGGAGTAAGCCCTGAGCACCACCAGCTGTGTCTCTGAAACAAACAAACAAAATATTTAAATAATAGTAATAATAACGTGTCTTGGGGAAAAGAGAGAAAGCATCACCCTTGCTCCATTTTTAAAGTTGTCTTGGCTCCAGGAGAAGGGTTAGCACTCTCTGTAAATCCCCAGCGGAAAACCAGAGTATTTGGTTTCTTGGATCAGGGCAAGTATATCTCTCTCCTCTTCTGCCTGGGACAGCAGCCCATCCACCATGTACCTTCCTCGGCTGCTCGTTGGAGCTTAGAAAGCACATCTCAGGAAGAGTGGCTGCACTGAGCCCCCACCAGGGCCCTGACCACAGCTCTGCCCTCCTGCATGACACAGGACACGTCACCATGCCTCTCAGAATCTCAGAGATGCCCACCTGCCCGTGTACCCCTTCACAGGCTGATGAGGACCCCATAGCATTGGACAGAGCAGGGCTGTGGGTCTGGAGGTCTCTAGACTCTCTCTCTCCCTTCAGAACACATAGTGAAGGGGCTTCAAAACCCCAACGACACCCAGAGCAAGGCCACCAAGTATGGTGGGTTTCCCTCTATCTGAACAACTTCACTAGGAGACACACAGGATGTCTCTGAAGTGCTGATCTTTCAGAGTCAAGGTCACATTTCTCAAGGGACTGTCTTCAAGGGTTTAGTTTAGGGGCAGTAAGTGCATTCACTGTGTTAGACAACCATTATGGATGCCTAGTTTCAGAACTTTCAGTACCCTAAAAGGAAGTCTTGCGCGTATGAGCAGTTCACCCTCTCCTGCCCCCACCCAGCTCACATACACACTCACACACATGCACACTCAGACACACAAAACTCACATATACACACTCACACACACTCATACATACACACACTCCACTCACATACAACACACACACTCACACATACATGCTAACATGCTCAATCACGCATACACACATACACACTCACACATACATACTCACACACTCATACACATTCACACTTAGTGTTCACATACTCACACTCATATTCACACACAAAAGCACACTCACACATTCTCACACATACTCACACATGCTCACACACATACACACACTCACATGCTCACACACTCACACATGTACACTCATACACAAGACTCATACCCCCCCTCTCTCTCTCACACACACACACACACACACACACACACACACACTTTCCCCTGTCTCCCTTTGCCTGGCAGCTTTTGTTATCTGCACTCTCTGTGCATGGACCTGGCCTGAGTATCCCACAACAGTGTGCTTGTGTGGTATATGCACTTCTGTGTCCGACTCCTGCCCCCACCCCTTTACATTTCCAAGTTCCTCACTCGAGCATGCATGCAGGACCCCTGCGAGCATTACCCCAACAGACCAGACCAAGATTTTATTTCAAAAGCATCAGACTTCAAGATTCCCAGGTGGCCTTGTGGATGAGCTTTTTATATTATACATGTGTGTTCTTAGCTGACCCAATTCATCCAGGGACTGGATCTAGCAAAAAAAAAAAAAAAGGCACTTGTCCAGAGCACATTCATTCCATGACGGGTGTCCCATGGGCTGAGAAGGAACCATACCTGCAGTTGCCCTGGGTGTTTGAGTTCTTTTTTTTTAATAGAGAGAGAGAGAGAGAGAGAGAGAGAGAGAGAGAGAGAGAGAGAGAGAGAGAGAGAGAGAGAGAGAGAGAGAAGGTTGGGCCACAATAATTCTGGGGGCTATTCCCAGTTCTGTGTTTATGGGTGGTGCCCAGGGGAACAGGAAGTACTGGGGCTCAATCCAGGTCAGCCGCATGAAGGAAAGCACATTCACCCTTGTATTGTCTCTGCAGCCCTGGTTGCGTTGCACTTGGAAAGGTGCAAGTCAGTGATCTGGGCCTCTAGCTTCAGCTTGTGAGCTGCTGCCTTCTCTTAGCAGGGTCCCTCTCAAATGCTCCCTTGAGCACCAGTGGGGCTAGGGAGTGGGTTCTAACTGCATGGGTCTTGTACTCCATCAGTGAGCCTGGTCTTGGGTTCGGAACATGAGACCCGCTTAGTGGCAAAGCTGTTTGAGAACTACAACAGCGTGGTGCGGCCAGTGGAAGACCACCGGCAAATCGTGGAGGTCACCGTGGGCCTGCAGCTGATCCAGCTCATCAACGTGGTGAGATACCCAAGCACTGCCCCCACCCCCACCCCCACCCCCACCCCCAGCCACTCCCTCCTCAGCTCCCTGAACTGGGCCATTGCCTTAATGATTTTTCTTCCTCCTCTTCTCCCCACCCCAGGATGAAGTAAATCAGATCGTGACAACCAATGTTCGTCTGAAACAGGTAATAGGGCCGAACAGTTGCATTGGATGTTGATTTGATCTGCTCTGAAGAGGATCTGCTCTGCTTCTTGGGCCCAGAAGAAAGCATTTGGGTCATTGGGAGCTTTGCTAAAAATATGGAAAGAAGAACTTTTGGGTGGTGGGTGGGCGGCAGGCAGGAGGTATCTTATGGATCATACTTGTGGGGGGTTGTTTCTACTTTGTGCCTTCTCTGTGTGTATTGGTTTGCAGGAGAACAGAAGTCAGGCTGGAAAGACAGTCCAGGAGTAATACACTCGCCTGGTATCCAGAGGACCTGGGTTGATCCCTAGCACCATGCAGTACCCCAAGCACCACCTGGAGTGACCCCCTCCCCAATCTCAGAGTTGGGAGGAGCCCCCTAAGCACTGCCTGGTGTGGCCCCCAAACTCCCAAAGAAACAAACCAAGTTTATGGTCTCGGTTCTTGAAGCCAAAAGTCCATCATGCAGGTCTTGACAAATGTTTCCTCCTGTGGCCCTGCAGGGGTGCCCAGGCTCTCCCCTTGGCTTCTAGTCGGTCACCTGCATGTTCTCATGGCAGTACCACCATGCTCCTTCCTGTCGGGACCCCAGTCAGTGGCTCACAGCATGCTAGACAGGAGCATTAGACTCGTGCTCTCTCCCTCTCTCCAGTCCAACCCGATTATGGTTTTGCCCCTTCTCTTTCCTTTGACTGCTGTTGATTTGGTGACCAGGGGTCGAACACACTTGGTTGAGGTGCATGGAGACCACACACTTAGTTGTGGCCCCAGGGAGCCCATGGGACAGAGTTGCCAGTGTCACATTCACCAGGAAGGCTGGTCCTGGGGACCAAACTCAAGGTCTCATGCCTGAAAGGAGGTGGTCTTCCACTGAGTCATCCCCAGGTCTGTCAACATGAATTTGGGGGAGGAAACCATTCAACTGAATATGCTGTGTCAACCAAATTTGCTACATTGAACATTTATTTTTATTTATTTTGTTTTGGGAGCCACACCCAGCAGTGCTCAGGGTTTACTTTTGGCTCAGCACTCACGAATCACTCTTGGTGGTGCCCAAGGGACTGACCATACAGGGTGTCAGGGATTGAGCCCGGGTTGGCCCTGTGCAAGGCAAGCGCCCTACCCATTGTACTATCTCTCCCAGGGCATCTACTTCACAAAAGTAGGAAAAAACTTAATGCAAAAAATTGGTCTACTGCTTGAGGACGGTATTCCCAATAGAGTCGGTGTCCTTTCCTGGTGCACACAGAGTGGTATGGTGGATCTGGCAACACCCCAGGCCAGGACTTGGAGGACTTTTCCCTTCTCATCTGTAAAATGGCCTCAATCATGACTCCCGGACCCTGGGATTATTGCAACGCAGGCGGAATACTGAGAGCAGCACAGGCAGCAGTGCGAGCTCGGGAGCATGGCTACTTGGCAAAGTCTGGGGTGCTGGAGAGATGGTTCAGGCTCACCAAAATCTGGATGAGGAGCTCACCTTGCACACGGCCGAGCTGGGTTCAGTTCCCAGCACCCCATAGAGTCCCCCGGGAGTGAGCCCTGAGCTCCCTCCCAGAGTGTGGCTCCCCCCAGAATCTCTCTGTTTAGAAACAGTTGTGGGAGTCACTCTGTCCTTCTTATGCCTTCCGCGTGTGACCCGGCTTCTGTCCTCACTTCTAGCAATGGGTGGACCACAACCTCAAATGGAACCCAGATGACTATGGCGGCGTGAAAAAAATCCACATTCCCTCACAAAACATCTGGCGGCCAGACCTGGTTCTCTACAACAAGTAAGCAAAGCTGACGGTGCGGGGGAGTGGGGGACGGTGGGGAGGGGGTGCTGGCCTGGGGGATGGGGGCCTGGGGTTCAGGCAGGCATGAGCACGTGAGTGACATGACATGGGTCACTCAGCACCGTTCACAGTAAATATGCCTTAGAGTTGCCAAGAGCCAAGCTGACAGGCCGGGGGGCGGGGGGGGTGGGGTGGGGGAAACACATGGGTGTCAGGGACAGGGGCCACTCAGAGCCCAGCTAGTGGGACAAGGCAGAGAGAGGGGGAGGGGCTGCCCCAGTCTTTACCTCTGGGTTTCTCATTAGACCTGGGCTTCCAGCTTCATCTGTGGAACTTTCCAGGAAAATGTACTGATAGAGCAGAGCTCCATGTTTCTCTCTGGGTGAGAAACTATGAGGGCTGGGGTTGTGCCCTGGCCCCAGCCCCTGGGACCCACCTGTGGTCTTGGAGCCCCCTAAACACTCTGGGGGCCCCTCCCTCCAGACTAATGAAGTAAATTAACAAGTAGGATCCCAATCCTGGTGCCACATGGTCCCCAAGGCACTGCCAGAGCAAACCCTGAGCACAGCCATGTGTGGCCAATACACTGAAGGTAGCAATTATTATCCTGGTACCAGTGGACATGCCGACTCAGCAGCTTTGGGATGGAGTGGGGGTGGGGAGGGAGAGGTTCAGGTCTGTTCTACCGTCTACAAGGACAGTCCTGGGGCCTTTGCTATTTGGGGCCCTTTGGGAAAGATCCAGAGTCACTCTGTTTTGAGGATAGGGCCCCTCTTCCATCTCAAGAGGGAAAATTCACAAGAAGAAAATTGTTGGTTTACAAGTGAGGTCAAAATCTAGTCCCTGTGTCCCTGCAGGCACACAGAGGGGCCCCTCTGTCCCCCACCCTCCCACCCCACCTTTCTAACTCACCAATTCTAATCCCCAACCCAGCCAAGGCTGTGGGCATGGCTGCTTGGGAAATCCTAGACTTGACCACTGAAGGCTGCAGAAATTTCTTGTTTTCCTTTCTCTTATTGTTTTTTTCCACTAAGAAACATTTTATTTATTTATTATTTTTTTTCCAGGCTTACACATTTTTGTGCTTGGGTTTCAATTATACAATGATCAAATACCCATCCCTCCACCAGTACGCATTTCCCACCACCACGGATCCCAGTATCCCTCCCCCCCCCAGCCCCCATCCCACCCTGCCTCTGTGGCAGGGAATTTCCCTCTCTCTCCTTTTGAGTGCTGTGGTTTGCAAAAGAGGCATTGAGTGGCAATCATGTTTGGTCGATAGTCTACTTTCAGCATGCTTCTCCCATCCTGGGAGGATCCTCCCAACACCCTTTGTTTGGTGTTCCCTTCTCTTTCTGAGCTCCCTTTTCCCCTAACATGTGTGGTTGGCCTCCAGGTCATTGAGTAAAATTCCTGGTACTAATCTCTGCCATTCTTGGGTGTTAGTTTCCTATTTTGTTACTTTATGTTCCCCAGATGAATGCAATCTTTCTATGTCTATCCCTTTCTTTCTGAGTCATTTCGCTTAACATGATACTTTCCATGTAGTACCACTTGTATGTAAATTTCATGACTTAGTCTTTTCTAACAGCTACATAGTACTCCATTGTGTAAATGTACCAGAGTTTCTTTAACCAGTCATCTGTTCACTGGCACTCAGGTTTTTTCCAGACTCTGGCTATTGTAAAGAGTGCTGCAATAAACAGACAATTGCAGATGTCACTTCGGCTATACTTTTTTGCCTCTCTGGGATATATTCCCAGGAGTGGTATTGCTGGGTCAAATGGGAGCTCAATTTCTAATTTTTTTGAGAATCATCCATACTGTTTTCGAAAAGGGTTGAACCAGTCGGCATTCCCACCAACAGTGAAGGAGTGTCCCTTTCTCGCCACATCCGCGCCAGCACCGGTTGCTTTTGTTCTTGTGGATGTGGGCCAGTCTCTGTGGTGTGAAGTGATATCTCATTGTTGTTTTGATCTGCATCTCCCTGATGATTAATGATGTGGAACATTTTCTCATGCGTCTTTTAGCCATTCGTATTCCTTTCTCTTATTTTAAAAAATATATTTAAATAATTTTCGAATTTTGTTTACTTTTTTTTTTTACAGTGCTTAGGGCCAGTCCTGTTTCTGTGCTCAGACATCTCTTCTGACAGTGCTCTGGGTCTATACATGGTACCAGGGATTGAACCAGGGTTGGCTACATGCATGGCCATTGCCCTCCCTGTTGCCTTATCTCTCTGGCCCCGTTTATTATCTGTCAGTACCCTGCCCTGAAGACCTTCCTTGGGAGAAATCAGTGCCCATACCAAGAGATCAGCAACTCCAGCTCAAATCTGGATTTTTTCAGTCTCTTGAAAACTCCAATATTCAAAAATATGGGGATTCAGATTTAAGGTGACTGTCCAGCTTCTGAAGGCGAGTCATTGGGCCATACTAGGTCAGACTGGGTCACAGTGGGCCACACTAGGTCCGGGGTGCTGCATGGACGCAGAGCCAAGCTCTGTGGTCAGGGAGATGAGAGCGACCATGTAACAGACTCACTGACCATGTCTTCCTCACCTGCCAAGCCCAGAGGCATTGAGCGAGTGGCTACCACGAGCCTGGATGACCCCAACCCAGAGAGCCCTAGTGATTCTTAGAAAGTTCTAATGATTTTTGTCTTCACCTGCTGATCCCAGCACTGGGCCCCTGGAGGGGCTTTTATTGGTAGTTCCTCATGGTGGTGGTTATTTTTCCGTTTAATAGAGGACAGGTGGAGATGAATGTGACAGATGTCCCAGGATGACTGGGAAGGCAAAGTTTTGGGACACAAGGGCAGAGAGTACTCGCCTAACATAAGGCTATGGCCTTGACCAGGGGTTAGATCCTCGGCACACTATTTTAGCACAAGGGTGTGGGAGGTGAGGGTAGCTGAGATAGAGGAGGGTTCATTATGACAATACTTGTTGGAAATGGTCACTCTGAACAGGATCTGAGCATTGAATGTAGGTACAGAGATATACATGATTGGGCTGGAGCAATAGCACAGTGGGTAGTGCATTTGCCTTGCATGCAGCTGACCTGGGTTCGGTTCCCAGCATCTTATATGGTCCCCCAAGCACAGCCAGGAGTAATTCCTGAGTTCAGAGCCAGGATTAACCCTTGTGCATTGCCAGGTGTAACACAAAAGGAAAAAAAAAACACTATAAGCTTTTGGCATCTGTATTGCAAACCATAATGCCTAAAATAAGAGAGAGAGAAAGAGAGAGAGAGAGAGAAAGAGAGAGAGAGGTTCCTGCCATAGCGGCAGGTGGGGTGGGGGGTAATTTGGGGCAGTGGGAGGGAAACTGGGGACACTGGTGCTGGGAAATTACACTGGTGGAGGAATGGGTATTGAACATTGTATGACAATCATGAACAGCTTTGTAATGGTCTATCTCAGGGTGATTCAATTAAAAAAATTTTTTAATAATAATTAAAAAAAACGACTTGGTTGTGAAAAGTGAGTACTGGTGAAGGGAAAGGTATTTGATCATTGTATGACCGAGACTTAAACCTGAAAGCTTAGTACCTTTTCCCACAGTGATTCAATAAATAAATATAAAAAGAAAAAAAATTAAGGTGGAGTTCATGCCCAATTCAATCAGCTAATCAGTGGCTGAATAAATAGCAGTACTCCTACAAAAAAAATTCAAAAAATGAATAAATAAATAAATAAATCTTGGCACACCAGGAATGACCCCTGAGCACAGAGACAGGAGTGAGCGTAGAGCACAATGGGGTGTGATACCCAAAACTAAGCAAGTGGGCCCCCAGGTGGCACTCAGGAATCTGTACTACATGCAAGCAGTAGGTGCTTCTTTTATCAGACAAGTCTGGAAAATACTGTCATAGATTTAAGATACAGCGAGCTTCTGCCCCAAGCAGAAAACCGGGCCCCTCCTTCACAGCCACGTTCCTCTTCCCCTCCCACCACAGTGCTGATGGCGACTTTGCCATTGTCAAGTTCACCAAAGTACTCCTGGACTACACGGGCCACATCACCTGGACGCCCCCTGCCATCTTCAAAAGCTACTGCGAGATCATCGTCACCCACTTCCCCTTTGACGAGCAGAACTGCAGCATGAAGCTGGGCACCTGGACTTACGACGGTTCCATGGTGGCCATCAACCCGGTATGTCCTCACGCCGTGACACTGAATTCAGGAAAAGAGTGGCCAGGCTCTCTCACTCTTCCCTGTGGTACCTCGAGGATATCCATACCCATCATACCCATGAGAACTTTAGTTTTATTTACTTTTTTCTTTTTTGGATCACATTCAGTGATGCTCAGGGGTTACTCCTGGCTCTGCACTCAGGAATTACTCCTGGCAGAGCTTGGGGGACCATATGGGATGCTGGGAATTGAACCTGGGTCAGCCGTGTGCAAGGCCCTACCCACTATGCTATCACTCCAGCATCACCCATGAGATCTTCGGGGATCTTCCAGTGGTTCTTAGTTGACTGGAAAGGTTGTTGGTAGGCAGCGTGTGAGAACCTCTTGGGAGCTGAAATGAATTCCCTGTGCCCAGGTTCGATGCCCATAATTCTACTTGAATAGGCCTGGGGAAGGGAGCTGGTAGGTACTATATGTTTGCTCTTTTTAAATGATTTTTTTTTTCTGGAGGAGAGGGGATGGGCCTTCTTAGCAGTGCTCAGGAGATCTGGACCAACTGGACCATCAGTTCAGTGCAAGAGCCTGAGGATGAGAAGCTGATCATGCCTGCAGGGACACTCCTGCCACGCAGAGAGCCTCAGGGTACTGGGCCCCTCAGCACTGCTCCCATGGTGCCAGGGGGGGAGGTGGGAAGGGTGTGGTGCCCCAAATTGAATCCAGGTCTGGCACTAGCCGGGCACTCACCCTAGCTGCTGAGCTGCTCCTGGCCAGCTCTTGGCATCAGAAGTTTTAAAGCTCCAAGTGATGTGGATGTGAGGTCAACACTGAGAAGCCTGTGGGGCAACTCCCCTCACTTAAAGGACAAGAACCTAACTGCCTGCTCCCCGCCTCAAAGAAAGGTGACCCCCAGTCCCTCTTGGGTATGTGACAGCCTTGTGACCGCTGATTACGGGGCTTTGTTTCGGATCCGGAAGTGGCGACAGTGGGTCTCTGTTCTTCCATGGTTCGCAGTATTTTCAAGAATGAAAATATTGAGTGATAAAGAACCACAGACTCAGAGTCGGAAGGTAGACAACTTTAATGGAAAATAGAAGAGAGATGAAAAGGAACGCCCTTGTGGAGAGGAACTTAGTACAGGACCAAGTTAACTACAGCTTTTGAGGCTGGGGGTACGGGTTTTTAAGCAAACTGGGTCTTATAAATGCAGGGAAGTTAAGATAAGGGGTTTCCCATAGACTCTTTTAAATAAAAATTGGACTCTTTGGATATCTTATCAATTGACTAAATGTTACTAGGGATACAAGGATTTAACAGACCCTTGTCTGGCCCTATGCCTTAGGTATTTCCCGTTGTTTTAGCCTCCAGGTGAGCCTAAACTCTCGGGCAGAATTTTATGCTGGACCATTGTTAAGTTCCTGCTTATTAGAAAGAGCTGGGGGGTGGGGGTGGGGCTGGAGTTATAGCACAGTAGGTAGGGGTAGGACTTTGCCTTGGTTCGATTTCCAGTATCCCATATGGTCCCTTGAGCACTGCCAGAAGTAATTCCTGAGTGCATGAGCCAGGAGTAACCTCTGTGCATCGCTGGGTATGACCCATTTAAAAAAAAAAAAAAAGAGCCCAGGGAACCAAAAATGTAGGATGGGGGCAGTCAAAAAATGGTACTACTCCCAGCAGCTGGCTCAGGTCAACTGAGCCTTCCTCTTTCATTCTTGCTCCATGAGCTTCGTTCCCTTCTTCTCAGGAAAGCGAGCAGCCGGACCTGAGCAACTTCATGGAGAGCGGGGAGTGGGTGATCAAGGAGGCGCGGGGCTGGAAGCACTGGGTGTTCTACGCCTGCTGCCCCAGCACGCCCTACCTGGACATCACCTACCACTTCGTCATGCAGCGCCTGCCGCTCTACTTCATCGTTAACGTCATCGTGCCCTGCCTGCTCTTCTCCTTCCTCACCGGCCTGGTGTTCTACCTGCCCACCGACTCAGGTGGGACCGTGGCCGTGGCACTGCTGCCCCCTGGTGGGAGGGACAGAGATCATCCTACGGGCCAATAAACACTTGCCGGCAGCTCCCCCAGTCGGCTGTCTGGGGAGGGGGCGGTACCCGGATCAGGAGACCACAGGCTAAGTGCCTGGGGGAGTCGCTGCTGGTGGGGCGCCCCAAGATCCCCGACCAAGCAAGCACAGAGCCAGCTCAGTCTAGTCTAAATGAGTAACTCAGTTGCCAAATACTTCCATGGACCCAGAAACGTGCTGGTAACTCCAGCCTTAACCCGAGTCTTTTTCTCCTTGCTTTTTTTTTTAAAAGTATTTCTTCACTGTGGTTTGTACCACCACCTTTCAGCACCAGCTCTGCCTCTGTTGAACCCTTCCCTCCATCGTAGAAAGAGCCCTCTCCCCCAACCCCTCCAGAGGCCTGTTTCCTACTGTCTCCTACCTGTTTCCTACTCTTGTTCTTGGTTTCTATTATCTTTGGGTCTTCTGTGTTTCCTTATACCCTGCTGGTGAGAGAGATCCTTATATGCTGGTCCCTCTCCCTCTGACCCCACTTAGCATGATGCTCTCCAGTTCCCTCCAGATAGTAGCAAGTTGTATGACTTTATCTCTTCTTACTCAGTCCAGGAGGCTTGTGAGGGGTTCCTGAGCCCCATGCTTGCCCCTTCGTGGGCTGCTGGGCACTTCCAAAGAACCTTTGCAAACCTGGTCTCCAGGAGGAGACATCTCCAGATGTCTCCCAGTGGCCTTTCTGTTGAGCTCAGCAGCCTGGACAAATCGCTTACCTCCTCCTGAGTAATAATGGCTGTGATGTCATTACACCAACACCCGCGCTTTACAGGACAGGGTTGAGGGAAACACACAGGCCTGCTCACAGTCTGCATTCATCAACCACTTAAGACAGACAGTTGGGGGTGGGGGGTGGGCGGGGAAGAGTACAGAGAGCATTATAATACAATTTTATCAAAACCAATTCTTTCAGAATTTTTTTATTGAGTCTCTGTGATATACACCCTCAGAAAGCTGTCAGTGATTGTTTTAGTCATACAGTGTTCCAACACCCATCCCTCCACCAGTGCACATTTCCCAGCACCGGAGTCCCCAATTTCCCTCCCATCACCCCAGCCTGCCTCTATAGTGGGCACTTCTTCTCTCTCTCTCTCTCTCTCTCTCTCTCTCTCCCTCTCTCTCACCCCCCTTTGTAGTTTGTAGTTTGCAATACAAATACTGAAAGGTTGCCATGTATATCTCTTTACCTACTTTTAACACTGAATTCTTGTCCGGTGGGATCATTTCCAACTATTGTCATACCCTTCTCTGCCCTACCTACCCTCATCCCCACACTCACTTGAGGTAGATTCCAACCATTGACCAGTTCTCTAAGTCCTGGTTTTCCCTGGCATTGGATATTAGTCTTCTACTATGTAACTTTTCATATCCCACAAATGAATGCAGCCATTCGATGTCTGTCCCTTTTCTTCTGACTCATTTCACTCAGTATGATACTCTCCATGTCCATCCATTTATAAGCAAATCTCATGACTTCATTTTCCCTTACTGCTGTGGCGTAGTATTCCATTTTGAAAGAGCCCACAGTTGTGTGAATTCGCATCAACAACCAGGAGAAGGAGAGCACGCATTCACCCCTTCTGCTGCTACCTGCTGAGACAGGGCATGACTGCATGCGAGACCCGCCACAGGACGTATCTGTGTTTCTTTCTCATCTCACCCAGGGGAGAAGATGACCCTGAGCATCTCGGTCCTGCTGTCCTTGACCGTGTTCCTGCTGGTCATCGTGGAGCTCATCCCGTCCACCTCCAGCGCGGTGCCCTTGATCGGGAAGTACATGCTGTTCACCATGGTGTTTGTCATCGCATCCATCATCATCACTGTCATCGTCATCAACACGCATCACCGCTCTCCCAGCACCCATGTCATGCCCCAGTGGGTCCGGAAGGTGAGTGGACATAGGGAAAGAGTGGGCGGAGGGGAGTGGGCATGGGGTGTGAGCAGGCTTGGTAAGCAAGTGGGTGTGAGAAGTGAGTGTGGATGGGAAGTGAGTGGGGGTGGGAGGTGAGTGGGAACAGGAGGTGAGTAGTTGTGGGAGGTAGGTAGGTACAGGAGGTGAGTGGGCAAGGCTCCTGCAAGGCTTTGCAAGAGGCTGTCATTTTCTGGAGGACATCCCCAAGTCTTCCCGTCTCCTTCTCTGATATTTCAGGGCACACCGAGAGTGTTTAAGAACTGAAAGTCGGGCTGGAGCAATAGCACAGTGGGTAGGGCATTTGCCTTGCATGTGGCTGACCCAGGTTCGATCCCCAGCATCCCATGTGGTCTCCCGAGCATTACTAGGAGTGATTCCTGAGTGCATGAGCCAAGAGTAACCCCTGTGCAACGCCGGGTGTGACCCAAAAAACAAAAACAAAAAAAATTAAAAAAAAGAACTGATGGGGCTGGAGCAATAGCACAGCGGGTAGGGCGTTTGCCTTGCACGTGGCCGACCCAGGTTCGATCCCCAGCATCCCAAATAGTCCCCCGAGCACTACCAGGAGTGATTCCTGAGTGCATGAGCCAAGAGTAACCCCTGTGCAATGCCGGGTGTGACCCAAAAAGCAAAAAAAAAAAAAAAAACAACCAAAAAACTGGAAGTCAGTTCTGACCAGTAGGATCTGGGAGAAGTACCTCTTTCTAGGGATAAAGGAGCCAGATCACCTCCCCAGAGAGGAAAGCAAAACAGAACAAATAAAACCTACTCCAGCTTCAAGCTTGAAGACAGTCTGAAGCGAGGAAACAAACCAGTCACCCTCTTCTTATTCCAGTGCAGGGAGAGTCTAGAGAGTCCTGTTTGCCTTCCACTTCGAGAATCTCGCCACTTATTTTGGGAGTAAGAATGGAGAAAGGGCTTGATGAGTTTATGTGTTTTCCAATTTCACAGAGACATCAAAATCTTTTCTGCAAAATGGAAAATATTTTGTTCTAAACCAACAGAGAAACAGATAACTGCTTGTAATATGTCTCTCTTGGACCTGTTCCTATAGACTAATAGCACAGTGGGTAGGGCGTTTGCCTTGCACACGGCCAACCCAGGTTTGATTCCTCCGTCCCTCTCCAAGAGCTTGGCAAGCTGCCGAGAGAATCCCACTCACATGGCAAAGCCTGGCAAGCACCCTCTGGCATATTCGATATGCCAAAAATAGTAACAAGTTTCACAATGGAGACATTACTGGTGCCTGCTCGAGCAAATCGATGAACAATGGGAGGACAGTACTACAGTGCTACCTTGTTTTTCAGAGAGAGAAGGGCGGAGGGTAGGGGATTTCTTTAGCCCTAAAATCAGAGGACCCTCAGCCTTTAAAGAAAGTGTGCCAGATTTGGGGGTGGTGGGACAGGAGAAGGGGGCTGGTGATGAGTTTTTAAGAAACAATAAAATTAAGAAAAAACTGCCCGGCCCTGAAGTAGCCCAAAGACATGAGGATTACATTCGTTTGAGATGTAAACCCTGAGCTCTTTGAGGATAGAGAAACCAAGGCACCACCCAGAGAAGGGCTTCTCAGAAAAGGAAAAGCAACAGAACTTAAAAATGAAAAGACCACCATGAAGTCCAAGTTATTTTCCCCTGTGACAACTCCCAGATTAAGTTTTCTGTAAGCATAGAACTCCAGGCCAAGTCAATTTGGAGAAATTATACATAACTTTTCCCAAAAATCATTCTCAGCTTTTCCCCCTCTGGAGAAGTCTATGTTTTCTTATGAACATCTCTCTCTCTCTCTCTCTCTCTCTCTCTCTCTCTCTCTCATCACATATCTCTGAATAACTTCCTTTAAATAAATTGTTTTGCTTAAGAAGGAAAGAGAAGAAAGGAGGGGGGAAAGAGAGGAAGGAAAAAAGAACAAAATGAGGGAGGGAGGGAGGGAGGGAGGGGGGGAGGGAGGGAGGAAGGAAGGAAGGGAGGAAGGGAGGAAGGGAGGAAGGGAGGGAGGGAGGGAGGGAGGGAGGGAGGGAGGGAGGGAGGGAGGGAAAGGAGAGAAAAGGAAGCGTGTTTGGTTCCACAGCTGCACACAGGCGCCCTCCAGTGGCGAAATGCTTGCATAACTGCAGCATCCCTGGACTGATTTCACAGACTACAGGCTTGCCAGTAAGGAAACTTCTAAGACAATCTAACTTCATTTTCCGCCTTAGACCCTGATGCCCAGGGATGCTGAAGGACTCGCCTAGGGTCACGTGGCGAGTTCAAGGTCAGAATCCGATGCTTAGCCTGCAGCCCATCACTCTCCTCCATGAATTTCCTTCCCATTCTAGGTTTTCATCGAGACCATCCCAAACCTCATGTTCTTCTCCACAATGAAAAGACCATCCAGAGAAAAGCAAGAAAAGAAGATCTTTACGGAAGATATCGACATCTCTGACATTTCGGGGAAGCCGGGACCGCAGTCCTTGGGCTTCCAATCTCCACTGATTAAACACCCGGAGGTGAAAAGCGCCATCGAGGGAATCAAGTACATCGCGGAGACCATGAAGTCAGACCAGGAGTCCAACAACGTGCGTCCGGGCCTCCTGCGCCCAGCCTGCCCTGCCCTGCCCTTGCTGTTGTCCTTGCTGTGTGCCTGGGGGTCACCCAGCAGCTTGCATGCGCACCTGATCGCCCTGAGGATAAGTTATAGGGGAGCTTGGGGGGAGAGGAAGCGACTTGAGCTTCCAAGGGTCTCACAGTCTGGTTGCAGCTTCCCCCCCCCCCCCCAGCGGGCGTGCACAGCTCACATCTGGTGGGCTGTGTGCTCCTGCCCTCTGCACTGCGGGGGCCCAGGGGTCACAGACTGCAGAGCTGCCCCTTGGGGCTCTGTGTGGGTAGCCACACCAGGAACTGGAATCTGGGTCTTCCTTAGGTTTGCAAGGCAGGAACCCTAAGCTGCTGAGCTATCTTCCCCCCCCTGCCCCCCCCCCCCAACTGTGTGGCTTGAAATTCACACATCTGGGCTTCCATGATCAGACAGAGTTGGGGAGAGAGACCAAAAGGCTGGCGCCATGCTTTGCACATGAGGACCTGGGTTTAATCCTTAGCACTGTGCGGTTCCCCAACCACTGCCAGAGAGTAACCCCGAGCACTAGTTCTGAAGGTCCCTGAGCACTGCCAGGTGTGAACCATTCAACAAACAACTGAATATATAAAAGATCAAATGCTTGGGTACAGATGGCTGAGTTTGGTTTCATAGGTACATTGTCAAGCGGCAGCAAGTGATCTAGAATGTGTCTTGGTGACCACCTCCAGGACATATGCATATCATATTGTGAATAATGGGGTTAAAAATTGTGCAAGGGCGATAGTGCAGTGGGCAGGTTGTTTGCCTTGCATGTGGCTGACCCAGGTTCCATCCCTGGCATCCCATATGGTTCCCTGAGCACTGCCAGGAATGGTTTCTGAGTGCAGAGTCAGGAGAAACCCCTGAGCATCACCGGGTATGACCCAAAAAGCAAAAAAAAAAATAAAATCATGGGGCTGGAGAGGTAGTATAATGGGCTAAGGCACTTACCTTGCATGCAGCAAAGCTGGGTTTGATCCTCAGCACCACATAAAGTCCTACAAGCACCATTAGGGGGGGCATCCCTGAGTGCAGAGTTAGGAGTCAGTCCTGAGTCCTGCCAGGTGTAGTAGCCCCCAAATCCCTAAATCAATCAGTTGATACATATCAGGCACCACATGGCCCCTCAGCTTGCTGGAAATGGCCCCTGAGCACAGAATCAGGAGTAGCCCCCAGCATAGTTGGGTGTGTCCCATATTCCCAAGCCCAAATCACCATCACGGTCACGGTCCTCCCGTTGTTCATCGATTTGCTCGAGCGGGCCCAGTAACGTCTCCATCATGAGACTTGTTGTTACTGTGTTTGGCATATCGAATACGTCACGGGGAGCTTGCCAGGCTCTGCCGTGCGGGCGAGATACTCTCGGTAGCTTGCCGGGTTCTCCGAGAGGGGCGGAGGAATTGAACTCGGGTCAGCCATGTTGGCGGCTTGTAAGGCAAGCGCCCTACTGCTGTGCTATCGCTCCAGCCCAAATAAATAAAACAAAATAAAAATAGATATCCTACTGGGAGCCCAGGGTTGCTGAGGGCCCTGAGTGAACCAGTGGTTTAATTTGTGGGTAAAGGGTGCCCTGAAGCCCGTCTGCTGCAAAAGATGCTCACTCCTCCTCTCTCCCAGGCGGCCGAGGAGTGGAAGTACGTGGCTATGGTGATGGACCACATTCTCCTCGGGGTCTTCATGCTCGTCTGTATCATCGGGACCCTCGCTGTGTTCGCAGGTCGGCTCATTGAGCTCAATCAGCAAGGGTGAGCCAATAGCCCCGCAGAGCAGAGCAGAGAGCAAGACAAGAGCCGTCTGCTTGGATGTGATTCACTGACCAAACATTGAGTGGAGTTTGGCATTTGTTATTAACAATCGTAATTTATGGTTGCACAAGAGTGTGGCCTCAAAGTGTGTTCACATTGTTCCTTCCTTCACTTCTGCTGTCAGAATGAAAATGGATCCCTGAAAAAAAGTGCTCCTGATGAGATCTGGGAGAGGTTTGTTCTTCTGATTATTACTTTAATTTAAGTCAAAAAAAAAAAAAAGGAAAGAAAAATGTTCTCTTTGCTTAAAGCCCTGTTCGTGCCTACAAGGAAAGTTCCATCCTCCCATTTGCATTGGAATCAGAGAGAAAGGAAATAGTGGGAAGGCAAGAGTAAGTTCCAGAATGACTACTGAAATGTAAACTACATCCAAACCCAGTTTTCAAGTAGAATTTCTCCAGCAGGGTGGTAAAGGGAAATATTTTCTAATCTAACATTTAATAATTAACATAATAACTGCAGCTGAGTTTGCGGTTCAGAATTGAAAGGAAAATAGGTTCCTAATCTGTCCTGAATATAAGACCAGGCATGGCGTGATGTCGCACACAGATGCTTTTGCTTCATTTTCATCACTCTTCTTTGGGACAAGGGATATGATCCAGCAGTTCCACTGCCAGGTGTTTGCCAAAAAAGAATCAAAAGCCAGAAATAGATCCATGTACACCTCTGTAGCATGGTGCCCAACAGCCCAAATGCAGATACAGCTTGTGTCCACGAATGGATAAGCAAAATGGGGTGTGTTCTAGAACAGTATTCAACCTTGAAGAGATTCAAATTCTGATCAAAGCAACAACATGGATCCACTAGGAAAACAACATGTTAGGTGAAGTGAGCCAGATGCAAAAGGACTCACTGTTGTAGGGTCCTATTCATTCCCAAGAAGGAGCCGCTACACGCAGATTCACGGAGTGGAAGCAGCAGGGTTGAGCGAGGGGTGGGCGAGTGGGTGGGCGGGGGGGGGGGAGTCCTACTTCAAGAGCAGTGTTTGGTTTGCAATCAAGAAAAACCTCTGGAAATGGATTGTGGTAATAGTCCAACAACAAATGGACTTAAAGCCATAGATTCATGCATGTTAAATGGTGATGATAGCAACTTTTGTTATGTGTATTTTTAACCATAATAAAAATATATAAAAGTAGTAAGAAAGGGGCTGGGGAGATAGTACAATGGGTGGGGTTCTTGCCTTGCACATGGGTGACCCAGGTTCAATCTCTGGCATACCATATGGTCCCCTGAGCACAGCCAGAAGTGATCCCTGAGTGCAGAGCCAAGGAGTAACCCCTGAGTATCACCTGCCATAGCCAAAAACAAGTAAACAGAAGAAAAAGTGGTAAGAAAATGGTAAATTTCATGCTGTATCTAATTTACTACAATTAAGGGAGACAGACAGACACACACACACATGTACACACACACACACACAGAGAGAGAGTGAGTGAGAGAGAGAGAGAGTAAAATCTTCTGCTCGCTTAATCCATCATCCATCATGGCCTTCCAGGACTATGAAGGAACTGACAGTCATCCATCCCAACATCTTCCCAGTGATGCACACAACACACAGGCTCAGAAAGTTGTTCTCCCTTAGGACACAATTCATCTACCTTGGGACATGGAGCTAGTGAGGGACATACGGTCTCCTGCCTCTTGCTGTTCCCGTTGCATCAAATAATAACTTCCATGGTGAGCCCCTCCAATATGTTTCTTCCTGAAAGCATGAGTGGGCTGCGAGAGGTTGAAGACAAGGATGCTGAAAGGGCAGCGACCACAGCCCTTCAGCCCCTGCTCCACAATCTCTGGAACCTTCCTCTGGTCAGGGCCTGCTCTCTAGAAGGCCACTATTATGAGACATGGGAGGGATGGGGAGAGGGGCTGGTCTCTTGTGGGGAGGTGCCCCCTGGGCCAGGAGGCTCCACAGGCCCTGCCCCGTGTGACTGTGTTCTGGACATCTGGGGAACAGGAAGATTGCTTGGGAATTAAGGCTCATCTGGAAACTGAAACCCAAACTAAAAAGTGTAACGGGCGTGGGTTTGCAGACTCGAAATGGAAGCAGACATTATTCAACGCTCCAATCTCTAAATCATCCACTGCCCACTCCCATCCCAGCCCATCCACCCTCACATTTTTTTCAGGTTGTCAGAACTGAGATCTGATTAAATTGGAAATTACATGAACAAGTCAGACGGTCAGCACACTGAAATCCAGGAGCGGGACGCTGCTAGGACTCGGGTCACTGTGCAGGTCACTTGTGCATCCTTCCTACTGCCCATGGATTCACTCCAAGAACCAGGAGTGCGCATGTGCGTACAGCCTGACTATTGCTCCATTCCCGGGCCCCACCGGCATGGTGGCTCCTCTCCAGGTGCTACCCCCACCCCACCCCTGCACTGCCAGACTCTCACCTCTGCCATCCAGAACTCCCTGTCCACAGCTAACAGGGGGGAGCTACGTTCCCACCCATCCCCCACCCCTGCATAAACCTCTGGCCTCTGGCTAAGGTCTTTCCCATCACAGCCACGCAGGGTCCTGTTCTCAGCCCTGAGTCCTGCAATCACTCCCCCCACACAGATGCTGCCAGTCACCACCCTATCTCCCTGGCACTGGCCCAGCCCTGCTGGAATTTTGACCTGCCTGGTATACATTTCTCAGCACACACACAGACACACACATAGAGATACTCACAGGCACAAACAGACAGACACAGACACAGAAACACACTCTAACACACATACACACATAGACACATTGAGACACACACACACTCTCTCTCATACACACACACACACACACACACACACACATAACCATGCTCAGACACACAAAGATTCTCTCTCACACATAGACACACTCAGACAAACACAGACTCTCTCTCCTCTCTCTCTCTCTCTCTCTCTCTATCTCTCTCTCTCTCTCTCTCTCACACACACACACACACACACCATCTGTCTAACGTCCTTCCCACCCATGAAGCCCCCCCCGACAATGTCACTGTCCCCCTGAGTTCTGGGCTGCATCAGTGCCCAGCCTCTGGCTCCTGCCTTCTCACTCCCTCCCTGGTGCTGCATCCAGACCCCCCAGGTGAACTCAGTGCCTGGCAGGCCGGAGTCAGGCCCAGGTCTCCGTGGGTGGGCCACAGGCCCAGGACATGGCAGCAGGATGGGGGGGGGGGGGGCTCCTGGGGACCTGTGTCATACGGTCTCACATGGCTGCAGGGGTCCCTGTGCAGAGCTCTAGAGAGCTGTGGTGTGCAAGGCCAAGGCAAACTGCCACCTACCAGTGACTGCACAGTTGCTCACAGGCACAGAGGCCTGTCTAGGGTGGGCCGGTGGCCTGAAACCCCACTGTACCCACCATCAACACACGTGCAAGGTCCCAACCCAAGCACTGAACTTGGCCTTGGGAGGTGACTAAGGTAGAGGTGACCTAGGGCCTTAGGCAAAATCAGAACCCTGAAAAAGAGACTCCGGCGTATGCCTTCCCTCCTGTCCACCCTCCTGCCACACTTCTCCCCCACCCATACCTTCTCCCTTCCTTTCCTCCCTCTTCCCCTCCTTCCCCTCTTTCTCTCTCCTCCCATCCCTCCCTCTTTCCTTCCCTTCCTACGTCCCTCCTTCCCTTCCCTCCTCCCCTCATTTCTCCCTTCTGCCTCCCCCTTCCCTCCTTCTTTCCCTCCACCCTCCTTCCTCCCCTCCTTACTTTGTCCCCCTTCCCTCCTCCCTCTACCAATTGGGTTATATCTGCAAGCCAGAACATGACTTCCCCTTTCCCAAACCCACCATACTGGCACCCGGCCCTGAGATTTCCCCTGTAGGAGACTGAGAGAGTTACTGTCTGGATTTCTGGACCACTGGGGAGGCATCACTGGGTATGGCCCACCAAGCAAAAATAAATTATATAATGGTCCATCACAGTCCTCCCGTTGTTCATCGATTTGCTTGAGCGGGCCCAGTAACGTCTCCATCATGAGACTTGTTGTTACTGTGTTTGGCATATTGAATACGTCACGGGGAGCTTGCCAGGCTTTGCTGCGCGGGCGAGATACTCTCGGTAGCTTGTCGGGCTCTCCAAGAGGGGCGGAGGAATTGAACCTGGCTCAGCCGGGCTGGCTGTGCGCAAGGCAAACACCCTACCAATGTGCTATCGCTCCAGCCCTTAAATTATATAATATTTACATTAATATTTACAAAATATTTTCACACAAGAGGTTCCTGAAGTTTTGCCCCTTTTATAAGGTGAGGACCAGCACAGAGTGAGAGCAGCCTTCTGGGGGTTCTCATCCAACCCCGTCCCACCACTTCACACCTCACGTGTATACTTCCAGCCTCCGGAAATGGACACACATGTGTGCTTCCAGCCACCAGAAACAGCCATGGAGCTGTGGACAGAGCAGCCCACAGGATTAGCATGGCTGGTTATCTTCCCCATGTTTAAATGGTTCCAATTTTTAAAAATTATACTAATAAAAGGTAAAGGCCCTCCCGTTGTCTGTGTCTGGCATATTGAATAGTCTCGGTAGCTTGCCGGGCTCTCCGAGAGGGGCGGAATAAAAATATCGAATATGTCACGGGTAGCTTGCCAGGCTCTGCCATGCCGGCTCGATACTCTCCGTAGCTTGACGGGCTCCCTGAGAGGGGCAGAGGAATCGACCCGGGGTTGGCCTGGCCAACCGCATGCAAGGCAAACAGTCTACCCAAAAACAGTAACAAGAAATCTCACAGTAGAGACGTTACTGGTGCCCATTCCAGCAAATCGATGAACAATGGGAGGATAGTGCGATATGCCAGACACAGTAACAACAAAGTCTCCAATGGAGACGTTACTGGGCCCGCTCAAGCAAGTGCTACTAATAAAAATAAATAGCTAAACAAATAGTTCTGAGAGGAGAGGTAAATAAAAAGATTCCAGAAAGCATATGACTTCTTTCATCTCAAGGTTAGAAGACCTCTT